CTAAATAAACACTAAATAAACACTCCACTGTCTTCATCAGCAAGTCACAATTAAAAGTCGTGGCTGTAAACCTAAACAACGAGCTGAAAGACACTAAAACACTCAGCAGAGGTGAGGAGAACTACAGAGACATTTGATCTATCGGTAATATAAAAATAAATTAGGATTGATGTTATTTAACACTACTGACCATATACAAGGACTATTTCTGGAATATTTTTTAATATAGTTGAACATTGTTTTTTTGGTTCGTACCACTTTTTAACCTTTTCAACCATTTATCTGTTACTTCTAGCTATGTTTCCATGTTTAGATGATTTTTTTTCAAATCATTTATAATTTTCTTTGCTTACTTTTTCAACAAATGTTACTTTTTAGCTATTCATCAATCTTTACAGGATTTATTCAATTATTTATACATTTCTTTGCTATTTTTGTGGACAATTTATCTCTTATTTATTAGCTATTTCAAACATTTACTGTTACTTTTAGTAAACTATTTAGGCTTCTCTGCTCACTTACTAACTACCTAGCTTTCACACTTAACACCTGCTGTTCAGGTGTTACAGCTGACTCCATATGTTGATATACATTTTAAAATTTTAATTATTTTCTATTTTTTTTAATTAGTTGAGTTAGTCCGCAATCTTGAATTCGAATACTCGAATCACTGGGCAACTGCAGAAGTACAGTCATCTGCAGTCAAGTTACTAAAGTATTAGTATCTAATCGTCAAAAGCTATTCTATTGTTCTTCTACTACGTCCTCATTACACACTCAGTCAACCTCCTGCGAGCAGGCGAAAGCACTTCTCTGTCTACAATCGGGAAGTAACTGCGGTGCACTCGCAGGTTTTCACCATAAAAACTATAATAGCATTTAAATCACAATAATATAAAACCTTCTAATGCTATAAGTCCCTCCAGGAGATGCACACACATAAATAACTCGAGCACACGCAGCAGCTTTATCCCATTTCAAGGGGGCTGTCAATACTTCATACCTGATCACAACCCAGATAGAAACAATAAATCATCTCTATAGTTCCCTGAAATGATTCTCAGCCATCAATCAACGCCTCATGACTCTGCATTTCTTCGAACAAGCACACAGCAGTAATAAAAATAATGAAAAGTCCCTTTCAGAATACCGAAATCATATTTCTTGTCTGTGCTCACGTGTGCAGAAATATGTGGAAGTGAATCTCGGAGCAGACCAAACTAGGCCCTTACCTCTGTGTATGGTATCAAAGCAGATGACACACACACGAGCCTCTTTCTCCAGGTACTTCAGCTTACACTTCCTGTTGCAGCACACCGCACAGTAGACCTGCCACAGAGGAGAGACAGTGACCACAGAGATACACGGCTACAAGCACGCACAATGAATACATACCACGTACAAACGAATCACAGTACACTGAAACATGTTCGTCTATGTGGCTCCTTATGCAGAAGCAGTCACGCTGTAAACAAAAACACGTCTTACACAGTCCCCTCTAATGCTGTTTTAATCACTGGCCTTTAAAGGACTTAGCTCCATCTTTAGGACACACGGCTCAGCGGGGATCTATAGAGGAGCTGGGAAAAGAACCGCTGACTCATGCTCTCTGCGTCCACCAAGACACTGTGCTATATTTGGTCCGGGGACGTAATCTGTTTTATTTTAATCTATTTCTGAAACACACACACTTCATTTTACATGGGATTTAAGTCTTGAAAACCAAATATATACATATATACATATATATATATAATTGAGGCTGATTAGTAGAAGTGTGGAAATTGTAGTCATGTATGATTCCTAAAATAATTATACTATAAGTTCAATAAAAAGTGTAAATGTAAGTTTGATAAACCACATTTTCTATTCAATATTCGTATTTCCAATGCAAACTTTCACTGACAGAAGAATTAGAATAAAGGCAGTGATGTTTGTTCACTGTGAGCCAGTTTCGATGCTGAAGGTTAATCAAGAAAATGGATTTGTGGTTGAAACGGACAAAGAAGTGAAAAAGAAATCCAAACCTGAGATTTTCCTCAACCCTCCCGAAGCGTTGTGCTTTTACAGCTACAAGGTCGATCAATAAATCAGACACTGACGGCTCTATTAAACCTCTTTATATGGGCATTACTTTTCTACCACAAATGTTTGCTGGACTTCTGTCACATGAAACAACACACACACACAGTTACTGAAAAGATCCAGCTTTTTATATTATAGACTATTGTAGTCGTAGTAGATTTATCTGACTGCTTGTTAACTGATAAAAAAGTGGCCATTTGAGGAAGTGATACAGCAAGACTCAAGTTTCACTCTTTTAAATATATCTAAAATATTCACTTTAACCACAGTGACAAAGCATGTCAGTAATAAACCAACTTTAAAGGTTTGCGTCTGCAGAGAAACCTGATTTATATTTTGGCCTCGAGAATTTATGCTAAAAGGAAGCTGGCTGTCAAATCCTGAACACTACTCTCTCATCGTCTGGTTACTTATGTGGGACTGTGGTGCAAAACAAGTAGAAATGTTAAAATTCTCACTTGATTTACTGTCAGTTTAACCAGCTGAGCTACGAACGAAGCAGAACAGGGCTGCACTACAGAGGGATTCGTTTTCTAACACTGCTGAACCTTTTTAACTTGAGCTGCAACTGTTAGTGGGTCGGTTCAAGAACCCTCAAATGTGTGAATCTGCTGCTTTTCTACATCACACGTTCCTGTAAAGTGAATGTTCTCGAGGGTTGCTCGGACCAGAACGAGACTCTGATGACGCCCACCTTTCCGCAGGCTCGACAGTGATGCCGCCTCTTGGTGAAAGTGAACCTCTGGTAGCAGTTCATACAGTTGGGGGCTTCAGAGTCTGGCACCCACGCAGGCTGTCTGCTCCCCAGCTCCTCCACTCCCTCTCTCTTCCAGTTCACCGGCCGGGCACCATCCGTGGGGGGCTCTCCGGGGTAAGGCGGGGGCTCGGAGAGTTCATCGTACCCCACACTGTACTCCTGAGGCTCCTGAGTGGCGTACATAGGGCTCAGATCCCTAATGTTGGAATGCTCCTCCATGGGGCTTGTGGGTGAACTCTCTTCATCCTCTGCTGTGTTTGAAGAACCAGGGAGCGGCTGTGCTTGCTCCTCTCCCTCGTCCCCTGCTGGAGGAGATCTAGCAGTTTGGCAGTGAAGCTGTTTAGGTCTGGCACCTCCATAGGAGGGCTGCTGATCAAGGCTACTGCTGTGCTGGGACTGGAAAGTGTTGCTGGTCAAAGAATGGCTAACCCCAGAGGAGAGCTCCGGCTCTTCTTGGCAAGGTCTGCGAGAGTCCTGCAGCAGTGACGGAGCGCCAGGGTTCAAACTCGCCTCTACAGACACACACATTGTTCTGTCACTTTCTGGAGAAGCCAGACCCTCCAGATCCTCCCGTCTACCTGGACCACAGCTCCTCAGCTCCTCTTCCACAAGCCTGCCCTCCAGATCTCCATTTAATGCTGACAGACTCTCAGGCTGATCTCCAGCAGTGGCGCAGCAGGAGACCCCCCTACCCTGCTCTGCTTCGGTGTGCGCCTGCAGGTCGGCCTGGTCGCTCTCAGGCAGGTATTCAAAGCCGAACTCGGGAGGATCCACTGGGCTGGGTTCTGGGCGGTCGCAGGAGGCAAGGTCTGCAGGAGGGACGGCGGCAGACAGATGCTGCCCCTCCGGTGACAGCCTGCCCTCGGCAACCTGCTGGGACTCCGCGAGCTCCTCTGAACGGGCCCTGTCCTCTCTGGCTTCCAAGGCTGACAGGGAGTCTGCCTCTGCGCTCTCCGAGACGTCTGCCTCATCGCACTGCTCCACGGCTTCCCCCAACTCATCGTCTGCGGCCTTTGAGTTCACCAGAGCGCCACACATGGACACAGCTAAGGGCAGGCACGATAGGCCCACCGCTTCGCTGTCTGAGGCCCCTGAATTCAGACCCACAGGAGACTCTGCCTCGCCTTTATCTGAGGCTTCTTGTGACTCACCCTCGTTATTCGCTGAGGTTGTTGTTGTTTCTTTAATGCCATCAACAGGCGGAGTGCCCTGCGGTTCACAGTGGTCTAAGGAGTTAACCACCGCTTGGTTCGTGCGAGCCGCCTCCTCACAGTCCCTCTCCTCTTTGTCAGCTGACTCCGCGGCCCTTGGTGACGGTGAATCGTCAGCGGACTCACAGCCTCTCTCCGCTGCGGCAGGAAGAATGACGTCGAGCAGACTGAGCGAGGCCGAGTACTCGCCGCTCTGCTCGTGGGAATCTAAACCCAGCAGCTCGTCTTTCCCCGCAGAGGCTTGCTCCTCCTTGGCGTCTCTACCGGCACTTTGGCTCGGCAGTCCTCGCTCCTCTCCGTGTACAGTGACCACGGGGCTGTCAAAGTCCACGAGCAGCGTCTCCTCCTCCTCCATTTGCTTCTCCACCACGTCCAGCTCGCTGAAAGCATCGTGGCTGTTGGCCCTGACCAGGATGGCCGAGCTCGTGTCGTTCACAAGGTCGCACACCGGCTTCAGAGCTCTGTCCGGGCAGGGAGGGGCAGAGCTCTGAGCCGGCCGGCGGTCCACAGAGGAGAGGAGGTCCACTGCAGTGAGGGGCTGACCTTTGACCTCTCTGTCGTCAGCGGCGCTGCGGTTGTGGCTGCCGGAGCGGTCGGGACAGCTGGTGGCAGAACCATAATGAAGAGAGTTGAGGTCAGGGAGGTTTGGCGGGACAGTGGACGCCTCTGAGGACAAACACTGAGAGCCCAGTGAGGAGAACGGGTACACGGACGGCTTCAGGAAAACAGATTTGCATTCAAGCTCCTCTGAAATAAAAACACAA